AAGGGAGGCTGTAGCGAGGTGGGGTTGGTCTGTTCTCCCACGTGCCTGGTGACAGGACGAGGGGGAATGGGCTTAAGTTGCGCCAGGAGAGTTTTAGGTTAGATGTTAGGAAGAGCTTCTTTACCAAAAGGGTTGTTAGACATTGGAACAGGCTGCCCAGGGAGGTGATGGAGTCACCATCCCTGGAAGACTTTAAAAGACGTTTAGATGTAGAGCTTAGGGATATGGTTTAGTGGGGTCTGTTAGTGTTAGGTCAGAGGTTGGACTCAATGATCTTGAGGTCTCTTCCAACCTAGAAATTCTGTGATTCTGTGACTGGTACTTGAAATAGGAGCAGCAGATATTTTAAAAATACCATCGTTCTGAGTTTGGAACACTGCATATGAAAGTTGTGTTGTCCTTCACTTTGACTTTCTATCTCACCAAAAGTATATTACTTATGATCAAACGTCAGATTGACATGACTGAGTTATGCTGATCTGCCAATATTACCAGCTTTTCTGATCTGATAAATTATTTTTGAAATGAACATCTTATCAAAGAAAGATGAAGGTCTCAGTGTCCTTCTACCATGTTATTTAGCACCGAACATACCCATGAACATGCCACTGAACATGCCACTTCAACACTGTTTCAGTCTAACGACAACATCGCTCACTTGTGAGATACAATGCAGATACCACATCTAAAAATAAGTTACATCTCTTATTTGATGCTTATTGTGTTATTATTAATTTCATCCTGGTGTCAGAATTTGAATGAAAATACAGAATATTCACACTGGTTTGCTCTTATTCATTGTAGCTCCTTGAAATATTTTCATGTCATTAGATAATTTGAGTTGACTTTCAAACGTATATTCAGATGATGATGGAGAAACTTAACTTTTTAAATTATCAGCCAACCTGCTAATACAGTAGGATGAAATTACAGCTAGGTTCCAGTTGACAGTAAAAAGGGAACTCTGCTTCCTTAGACAAAGAGAAAAATAAAGTGACTGTCACCTTTCCCTCCAGCTTTGGTGCATGGAAGAGGATACTTGCCACCAGTATGAGATGTGCCAAAGCAGCACTTAATGAGAAGAGAGCATGAAGGTTTAAGAAAACAAATGAGGTATCCTTGAAAAAAGAGTGAAATAAAACCACTGGAAAACCACTTGGTGCCTACAGAGAATATGGTTTCATTTTTCATAACTCAAAAGTAAAAGCCAGACAATGGGAAGACAAGAAATCTTAAAAAAGACGTCTTTAGCAAGCTACCAGCTTCCTCAGCCACACTTCCAGCTGGGGCACATCAGCAGAGCTCCGATGAAATCAGAAGCACCCAAGGGTACCAGCAGAGAACGCAGTACTAAAGTCAACATAGATTAGCTAAAGGGGGGGTTAACTTGAGATGTCTAACACTAAGCTGGGTTTGTTTTTAATGCCCCCACCTATCCTACCTTCATGGAAATGTTTGTCTAAAGCTAAATTGCACATCACTACCCAAGAAACAAAACCATGATTGATTAAAAACCATTAGCTTGAGGGATTCTAGAGCTATTGCAAGGTTTTGTTTACTTAACTTTGCTTCAGTCCATACTTTGTTATAAGCTGTCATACAGACCTTTAGTGAATTAAAGCTGTGAGACATTCATGACAAGCATAGGGTGAAATTGGATCATGACTTATTTATATACCATTGTGTATTAAATATAATCTTGAATTTATAAGAGGTACAGGACAGACAAGACCTCTACATCTACAGTCCTCTGCAAGTGATTTCCACGTCTAAGTCAAGAATGCCACCATAGCAGGAAGCAATCAAAAGCCAGAGAGAAATGCCATGAAGCATTTCAATCATTACAATCAATGCTAATTTTTTATTTTGTTGTTTTTTACTATTTATTCCAAGTTTCTAAAGACATTATATAACTTTCTGTGGCTTATAAAGGGCTGAACATGCAGTTGTTAAACAAATATGAATATCCTTTTAGAATGTATTCAAAATATTTTAAAATTTTGAATACATAAATACAGTCCAGCAACATTACACTTCCAGGATACAGTGTGTATAGTACATTATAAAAAATACTTAGAATGAAAAACCCTTCAGTTAAAGTACACACTTTTCACAGCATCTCTATTTTCTCCAAGAGCGTATTGATTCTAAAGTTTCTTTCAACGATCCAAAGTACTTTCAGCTTTCCTTTCAGAATGGTTTTTCTTTAAAGAAAATGGAATCTAATACAAAATAAGTCAAAACAGTCGACCTACTTCAGTTGATCCAAGAAGAAATTATAGTAATATATTTGTGGAAATATTTTTGTTATGTCTGGATTTCCATTAAGGATGAAAATAAATTCCCAAATATTAGGATTTTTAAAAAATGGAAATTCCATGTTTTGGCAGGCTCCCATACTCTGAATTACTTATTGCTGTAACACATAGAACAGCAGCTTAAAAACAAACAAAAAATCCTAGAGCTTTTCTTCTCATCATAGACAAAAGCATATTAATTTTTCAATCTGAAATAACATACTTTTAATTTGAAATTTACTGATTAGATGATTTAAAACTGATAAGGCTCCACTGACAGAAATCTAGTTACATTCTTTTCACATGTAAAGACTCATAACAGAAAGAGCGCTGGTTTACATAGAGCAACAGAATTTCAAGGACCTAATTCTAATATTAATCTCACATTGTATCAGAATTTAATTACTATATAATTAGAATTACATAAAATGCAAATGTGATTTCTCAAAGCTACCAACAGCAGTTTGGAATGACATTTATCTGAAAACATTTGAAAAACAGAAGTGCTCCCTCGCAAACTATGTGGCACTGAATTTGCCAACTACCTAGCAAAACATTGTGAGAACTCTGTTCCTTACACACGATGCCCTATTTAACAGGCAAATTCATGAATACGCAGTATGACTAATATAGCTTTTTCCCCATTCCTGCTAGCTAAGCAAGGACGAGTAAGAGAAGCACGTCTGAGAGAATGCCGGGACTCGTGACCCCCTCAGTGTCAAGAAATTATCAGAAATATCTACCACAGGGAACTAGACAGATAATGAAAACAAAAATGATCTGAACCTCAAGGATAATGATAGCTCAATGTCTAATTACTCGAGATGAATTTTTGATGACATCTCCTCCGGCCAATTAGCTTGCTAGTCACCAAAGAGTGCTTTTGGCAAGGAGGGTTAAACAGAAGGCTGGAAAAATAACAAGAGAAAATAGGGCTGAAAATGATGTAGCCAGAAGGGTCCCAGTTCTCCAGCCACTTCTCTTAGAGGCTGGATAGCTCTGTAGCAGCCAAGAGAGTTAAGATAGCTTTAAACCAGAGTGAAAGAGAAGAGGATCAGCACACCTGGGAAACCTTCCACAGCATCTGTGAAACTCAGGCCTCTGAGGTGAGCATTACCGCCCCTGCAGCACCCACTCTCAGCTGAGCGCTGCAGCCTGTCCCCGTGACCCACAGGCTTGGTACCACCCACAGCTGCTCTGCCTGCCCTGCCATTCAGCACCCTGACAGACAGACAGACTCTGAGCAAAGGCCACAGTAGGACACACGGAGAGCCCATCATGCCCCGCTGCATCTTCATTAGAAACCTCACACACCCCTGCTGTGGTCTTAGAGGTTTGGTTCACAACATGGAGGTGTGCATGTCTGTGACCTGCAGCACTGCTCTTTGACTTCGGCAAGAAAAAGATGAAAGGAAGTCAACACTTCAGTTCCCAGCCAGCAGTAAAATAAAAATTAGCTATAAAACAGTAGAAACAAGATATATATATGCAGTTCAGGGCCTTTCATATAAATCAGCATGGCTCCATGAAATTCCTCTTGAGCAATTCCAAATGCCAGCATCAATGTCAGCCAGAATGTAAGTTACACTTATCTTCCATAGCCCACTTTCAGGACACCAGGTGGTCATGGAATTAATTCGCTCTTACTAAGCTTCTCCAGTTATTTCTCTAGCACAACAAGAAAAGGGGCATAGTGACTGCTGGAAAAGACTCAGGAAATTTTCATTTATTTGGATTTTAAAACTTGATTGATGTAAAACTATTTTTCTGCTCTTAAGAACAGACCTCTGCAGAAGAATTGTGTGAGAAGATGGAAGGGTGGGAAAAGACAGGCCAATAGAATAAACATGCATGTTTTTCTTGATTTTTCTTCTTTTTCTATGAATTTTACAGCTTTGGCAAGGAAAGCTCAAGTTTTTGATCTAGGGCCAAATAGACAATCTTTTTAACCAGAGGTAGCATTTACCATGGTGAAAAAATATCCAGCAGAACCTTGTATCTTGTCATTTTCAGTAATCCTTAGTAAATCTCACCAGGATTTTTTCCTTGACTATAAATTTGTTCTCACCCAGTAACGTATCACCTGCTGATCCCAGTTATTTCCAATGCTTGTTACAGATAGGTTTAGCTACCTTTTTTTTCTCCTGTTCCATGAAGAAGTAGTATCTGATACCTGCATAAAGCATTGCTCATTAATTCTAAGAAGCTACTGAGAAGCTTGTATCTCACAGAGATGTTTATTTTAGACTTTTCTCTAGCTGGTAACGACACTGCAGCAAAGAAATTCACACAGGAGATAAAGCAAAGATCTCACAAGTCTAGAGAATGTCTGAGGTATAACCTATTCCTCAGTGCTGGAGAATATAAACAAATCAGTGTATTACATTTAGACTTGTGTGACTTAAAATGAATTTCTGCAATACCATCAGACATTAATATTGACATTTCATGGTATTTGAGATGCTATTTACACTCTGTACACTAGACAAACACCAGACAGTTTACCTTCAATACAAGCAGCTGGTTACTCATTTGTGAAGCCAAGGCAGGATGGTGTGGCCACTATCACCTTATGACCCTTAAAGATTACTGAACCCGCACTGCAACACCACAATAGCTCCAGAGACTGACACTTCTATTTGGGTTTGACTGCAATCACCACCCGAACTGTATTTTCTTACCAGACATACTAAGTGAACTCACCATATGCCTGGTAGGCTGGCCACGTACAATTTCAGTCAGAAAGGGACAAGTCCCTCAAAGCAGAACTAAATTCAAAGTTAGGTCAGGTTGCTTAGGGCCTTGCCCGGGTGAGTTTTGAGTCTCTCCAAGAAGGGTGTTTCCACAATGACTCAGGGCCCTGTTCCAGGGTTTACCACCCACATTCTGGAAAAAAAAAATATATATGTATGTATGTTACGGCCATTCCTACAAAACATCCTAGTGACAACAAGACATAAAGAGGGCAACCTTGTTAAAATGTTTTAAAATCTTCATGCTATGTGGTAAAGACTCTGCTTGTTAGTGGTGGCAGTAACACAACTTCAGAGTTACTTCACATTTGCTCTGTTGTAACTGAGTACAAATGGTAGTTACGGCAAGCTTAAGCTGAAACATACACCGCTACAGCACTAACGTGGTGCCACCGTTCTCCCATTCTCAGATGTGCCATCATTAGAGTTAAACCACACTTTTTTCATAAATGCAGATGCAACTCAAAATATTCTTGTGATAATTTCACCATACGGCTTCTGCTTTTCAGCTCTCCACGTTTTAAAAATTATTTTCCCTTTTCAAACATCGGCATATGCTAACTTCCCTTAGGCAAAAACATGATATCATTGATGTGTTTATAATCTAGCCTTCTACCAACAAGAAAAAGCAAATTAACAATTTGAAAAAGCAGTCACTTGATACGACTCAATTCAGTTTTGTTTATTTCCAAAGAGTGCCTTGAGTAGGGCTGATCTAAACCAGTGACAAGCACTGCTTTCTGCAGTGTAACTAAACTAAGACTAAATTAACAAACTACTTCAGTTGGTAATCAGGTTATAAAAATAAAGTGCAGCAAACAGAAACTAACCTGTTTGTTTTGTAAGTAATGTATGTGCTGTATCCAAACCTTAATTAGACCACATAGTAAGAGACTTTATATGTGGATTTTTATAGACACTTTTCCAGACATGCTGTGCTCCAGATATTCCTTCCCCAAGCCCCAGTCCACACCTTCCTAAATAACTTTTGTGGGGCTAATTAAACAGACTGGCAATTCAGAATTAATCCAATTAAAGCAACAGTATTTGAGAATTAACATTAGTATAGCATCCGCCTAGCTGTCTAATAAGATTCCATAAGAACAACTACTGGTAAAGTCTAAGGACATTCCTATGTTGCACAGTCTGATGTCATCCTAGAAATGTCTCACCTAGTTCTGTATGAGCTGGATTGTCTACACAGTTCAATGCAGCACCAAAAAAAGACACATTTACTCTATTGCCAAAAGCCGTACGGCAGCAGTAGAATTGTGCTGCACCCAAACTAATTACAGGCTTTTCTGCTATATTTCTCTGACTTCTGGAACTAGGAGAGAGACAGCATTATTCATTAGAAACACCCCCTGAGATCTTTTATGTCTGATGTTATTGAAAGACGAGATAAACCTCCATCATTGAAACGTTGTCGAAAATTTAATAGGGATCTATAGAAATTACCATCCAAATAGAAGAATTGATTTGAGAATGATTTATTTCATTTTATTATAGTATTATTAAATTTAAAGGACTCTTCCGTAGGAGGCATGCAGTCCTATTAAAGTTGATAACAAAGCTCTTGCTATTGGAATTGAAGCCACAATTTGTTAAGATGACTCAGAAACCTCAGAGACTGGTTATGATTCGCTGTTCAACTCTGCAGGCATTTTCCGTGAAGAATAAAACATTGGAAAACCCTCTAGAAATTATTACAAAAAGCTGCTCGTGCTCCGGGATTACCACCTTCCTGAGAATTCCCTTCAGTCACAAATATGCCTCTCACATAAGAATTTGCATCTGTTGAATACTCCACCTGTATTATCCAGGTGATGCTGGGACTCAGGAAAGACTAGAGAGAGTTGCTGTCAGTCAGTCACACTCAGTTCCAGCAACAACATGGCACATTTTGTGAATGAGCATTATAAGTTTGATTGTATTTAGCAAGCTGCTGCTGCATTTTCCACACTTAAGAGAATTTTTATCAACTAACTCAACAAGAAATACAAAGTCATCTGCCAAATTTTATTCTCAGTTATATAGGAGTAGTTTCAATGCTCATGAGGCATTTTCTTACTACTGTGTAGGAACATTTTTCTATACTACAGAGACTAAAAAATGCTTCCTACCGTGCTTCTAAAGAGATCTTTAGACACAGTGAAATTATCCCCATAAACACAACTTTTTATCTCAGTAAGAATTTTTCCTGCATCAACCTTATCTCTTTTTTTTATGACAGAAGGATAAACAGTTTGAACAAGGTAAGATACTCTCACTCAAAACCACTTCCATTTTCTTTAAAGGATTTTTTACAGTTCTAACATGTTAAAAGTACTTGTTTTACCATGGCTGAAACAGCAAAGCATTTCTTCATTACATTTATGAATATAACTGATGAAGACCACAGTCAATAAATGCTTTTGAGTGAAGTAAACAAAGTTGGATAGATGGCCTCAGTCACCCAAAACACACTGTGAACAGTAGTTGTTTACCCTGATTTTGTCAAGGCCTCTAACACAGTCTCCCATAGGCTTTTTGGCACCATAGTGGTGCAATACGTGCTGGATAAGAGGACAATAAGATGGGTGGAAAATGGACCAGACTGCTAGGCTTTAAGAGTTGTAACCAGTGATGTCAGCTGTCAGCCAGTAGCTAGTGCAGTCACTCAACCCATACTGTTTAAATTTGTTTGTTAATGGCCTGAACAACAGGACAAAGCGCAGCCTCGCAAATTTGTAGATGACACCAAACTTGGGAAGCAGTCAATATGTTAGAGGGCAAGGCTGTTATTCAGAGGGACAAACTGACAGCAACCTCATGACATTCAACAAGAGCAAGTGCAAGGTCTTGCGTGTGTGATGAAATAATCCCATGCAAAAGGGGGTTACCTGCCTAGGAAGCAGCTTCACAGAAAGGGATCCGGGGAGTTCTAATGGACAAGAAGCTACGTGTGACTAAACAGTCTGCTCTTGCCACCAAGAAAGTAAACTGCATCCTACGCTAGTAGTAATGTAGCCACCAGGTGCATGGAAGTGATACTTTTGCTCTACTCAATTCTCATGAGACTGCACCTGGACTACTGTGTCTAGTTTGGGGCTCTCCATTACAAGGAGGATATTGACATACTAGGTCAAGTTCAGCAGAGAGTTGGCATTATGAATGGATTGGTACCATGATCAGCCAGCTATAAGCATCTGAAATTCTCCCCACTATATATATGTTCTGAAAGACAGAATAAAGGAGAGAGGAGTCTTCAGCACAGAAAGAAGATTCAGGCTGAAAATCCTATTCCAGGTGCTCTCCTTGAAAATCCACCATTTTTCCAAGACAAAATCATCTCTAGTTGTTTAAAAATAAATAAATAAATCAGGTTGTCAGTAATTGTTGAAGCAAAATATAGATGTGTGACAAGGTAATAAAGAGCTGGGGCCTATAGACTTGCATGGGTGCACGCTTCTCCAAACAAGTTTAAAAATACTTTCTGCTTCCCCACAAACCCGTATCAGTGAAAAAATCCTTCACTTTTTCTGTTATGCAAATTCATACAGGTACTTTTTATTTCTAATTGAACATCCATGCTCAAAATCATAGTCAAACATTAATCCCAGTTCCTTATGTTTTCGTTAATGTTACATGACTGGTACCTGCAGTAAAATCATAGATAGTGGTCCCACAGTGACAGTAGTCCTTGTCTCTAATCTTGAACTGAGAAATGTCTAAAAATACACAAGTTTCCTGCAAAATCCAGTCCTGCCCCTAATTTATAGTTTGCAAGCACCATTACAGGTTGGTCTGCAGCTATCCCCAAAATAATGAAACACAAATGCTACCTTGCATATTTATCTGAAAAAGCCCCAGCCAGTAAAGAGTTAAGCAGTGCAACAGCAAAACCCTTCCTATCTGGGCAATCCATGGCACTAAAAGAACAATTGCTCTTATTTCCACTCTGCTTATAGGGAACCAGCAGGCCTTTTACTCATTTTTATTTATTTCTTTGATCTTCTCTCCCCTTGAACCTTACTGTACTTCCTTTTACAAGTTTTCCAGTTCTTTGGCAAAGGTGTACCTATCAACACCATCTGGCTGCATGCAAAGAAACATTACTACATGCTTCCCTAAAGACAAGCCTGCTGTGCTAGCCATGAGCCACTGACATGATTTCCAGCTCAGCGCTTCAGAAGACTTCTACTCAAACACCATTGCTTACATTTCCTCACTAAAGAGAGAGGAAGGAAAAAACCCAAACCCTCCACCGGTCTGTAATGACAGGGGATATGTCTCATGTTTTATGAACACAAAAATTCCAGGCTCAATTATGTGTTACTACTAGTTGTTCTGCCTGCCAAGCCACTGTTCTGTTTCCAATAAATATGCAGCAACAAAATGAAAGCCCAAAGTACAGACCCTATACATTGCTTGTAAGTACTGCTTTTTTGCACATTAAACCATCACGGGACAGGTTTTACATCTTAGGAAGTGTGTTGGCAAACCTTGGCGATTGTAACTATGTTTTACCAAAATATTTAACCAACTGAGTAATAATAGGCTCTATTTATCATACTCACAAGTGGTGAGCAACTCGTGCTTTCCAGCTGTAGACTTATGACAAAATAACATTAGAAACTGCATTCTTAAACCAAAGCCTGTCATTTGTTAGTTAATTTCCACAAGTACATATTTGTATGTCTAAATATTGTAGGCAGGGCTCCCATGACAAATTAAAGCTAATGGAAATTGCATGCATCTCCTAATTCTTGGAATTGAAATAATATTAGCACTGCATGCAATACTAAATGAAAGCTCACTATGAGCCTTTTAAGCACAGCGCTTTCTTCCGCTCACTACCTTTGGCTATGCAGTCAGTTCCAGTTTATATTCAGACACTATTCATCGTTAAGCTGCTTTGACTAATTAACTAAACTGAGCGTTACATTGGTTGAAGTGTCATAATCTGTTCACGTCAAGCTCAGCTCCATCTAGTGATATCCTTATCAGAACCTCAAACTACGGACAGATATTACAAGCACTATTTTTTGCCCTTTGAATCCCACAGGGTCTAAAGCTGAGGCCCCTGCAATGTGCTTCATCTCGATCACATTCCAAAACCATGTTTCTTGCCATCCTGGCTGTCGCACAGAG